CTTCCTTCAGCAACTGGACCGTGTCTTCGGCACATCAGCCCAAACTGCAGAGCAAAGCAGGAAGCCACACCAGTTTGATGTGCTTTGCAAACGTTGCGCCTTTGGTTATGTGAGCCGGAGACAGCCACGGCGGTGGAGATATACAGGTTGTCCTCAACTTTGAATAGAATAGAATAGAATAGAGCTGGATGGGACCTTGGAGGTCTTCTAGTCCAGCTCAAGCAGGAGAACTGTACTATAAAGTGGCTGTCCAGTGATGGAGTGCCCATGATTTCTGAAAGCAAGCAGTTCCAATGGTTGAAAGTTTTCCAGGTTGCTTTTATCCTTGGTTAGTTTCTATCCATTGTTTCTTGTCCTGCCTTCTGGTGCTTTGGAGAATAATTTGACTTCCTCCTCTTTGTGGCAGCCCCTCAAATATTGGAACACTGCTATCATGTCATCCATAATTCTTCTTTTCTTTAGACTAGCCAAACCCAAATCCTGCAGCCGTTTTCCATATGTTTTAGTCTCCACGCCTTTGATCATCTTACTTGCTCTTCTCTGCACTTTTTCCAAAGTCTCAACTTCTTTGGAAAAAGTTCAGAGAGCAACTAAGATTTACAATTTCCAACTACTTGCTTAGCAGCGGTTCAAAGTTACAATGGCACTGAGAAAAATGATTTACGATCATCCTCGCATTTGTGACTGTTGCAGCCTCCCCATGTCACGTGATCAACACTGGTGCTTCTGACAAGCAAAGTCACTGCAGCCTTTAAGGCGGCGCGATTCACTTAAGGTTGCAAAATTGGGCGTGGCTCGCTGAACAACTGCCTTGCTTAGCGACAGAACTTCTGCTCCCAATTGTGGTTGAGGATTAACTGTGACGATAGCACTAGCGCTAGCACTAGCCCTTAGACTTATATACCACTTTGCATTGCTTTTACAGCCCTCTCTAACTGGTTTACAGAGTCAGCCTCTTGCCCCCCAACAATCTGGGTCCTCATTTGATCAACCTCGGAAGGACGGAAGGCTGAGTCCACTTTGATCCGGTCAGGATCGAACTCCTGGCAGTGGGCAGAGTTAGCCTGCAATACTGCATTCGAACCACTGCATCACCACGACTCACAAATTGGGAACCAGTAAAGAGACTGGAAAAAAAGAAAGAAGGGACACAGTGGCTCAGTGGCTAAGATGCTGAGCTTGTTGATCAGAAAGGTCGCAGTATGGTGGTTCAAATCCCTAGCGCCGCGCAACGGAGTGAGCTCTCGTTACTGGTCTCAGCTTCTGCCAACCTAGCAGTTCGAAAGCATGTAAAAAAATGCAAGTAGAAAAACAGGGACCCCTTTGGTGAGAAGGTCACAGCGTTCCATGCCCCTTCAAAAGCGTTTAGTCCTGCCGGACACATGACCACGGAGACATCTTCGGACAGCGCTGGCTCTTCGGCTTTGTAACGGAGATGAGCACCGGCCCCTACAGCCAGAAATGACTAACACGGATGCTCAAGGGGAACCTTTTTACCTTTAGGTTTCAAGAGGTTGGAATTAACACAATCAAACTGGAATTGGGAACTAAATAGGATAAGAAGGTAGAATAGCGCAAACCAAACTAAACACCTGGATGGACAGAAGATAGAATTCAGTAGCATGAATTATACAGTTAAGCATCTGTCATTCAAAGCACCCAGGGATTTTGGGATTATGTGGATTTAAAGTGGTCCTCAGGTCAAAATACTAATTTCTTGCAGCCCAACCAAGGCCAACTTCAAATCCCAAGAAGACTGAGGAATTTGGGTCAGCGGGTAAATAATGTCCAACAAGTACAGACTTCTCAGCGCATTTAATACTTGAGTATTAGCCAGGTAGATTAGCAGCCGATCCACCTGTGCTATGCTGCGACCAAGTCTTGCCAAAACGTTGTTTTCTTCTTTGAGATCTTGGCCACCCAAGGAGATCACCCAAGGATTGTATCTCCTGGTCTTCTGCTTGTTCTTTTGTGTTGGAATTCAGCTTCCTTCGTTCCCCTAGGTTTGAATGAAACCTTCCAGGAAAGATTTGTTTCTTTTTCTTGGCTGGGGGCTGTGGATGAGAGAGGGGAGCACCTTAAAAGGAGACCTACCCCTCCCTGCTGCGGGCATTTCTATCCTCTTGTCAACAAGGTAAAGGTTCCCCTTGCACATCCGTGCTAGTCATTTCCGGCTCTAGGGGGCAGTGCTCATCTTTGTTCCAAAGCTGAAGAGCCAGCGCTGTCCGTAGACGTCTCCGTGGTCATGTGGCCGGCATGACTAAATGCTGAAGGTGCACGGAATGCTGTTCCCTTCCTACCAAAGAGGTCCCTGTTTTTCTACTTGCATTTTTTACGTGCTTTCGAACTGCTAGGTTGGCAGAAGCTGGGACAAGTAAACGGGAGCTCACTCCGTGACGCGGCGCTAGGGATTTGAACCGCCGAACAGCCGACCTTTCTGATCGACAAGCTCAGCGTCTTAGCCACTGAGCCACCGCTTGTCAACAAAGCATCTGTCAAATGCCAGCTGCCCCAAGGTTGTTTGTTGATCAACCTTAAGTAGAAATGCCCCGGAGGCCTTGAGGGACCCAGATTGAGGGAGATCATCTTCCACCTCGGATGGAGGATTCCCTGCTTTAGTCATCACGGCTGACTGAGAAGGCCCAAGAGAAGGCTTTGTTTTTGTCCCTTGAGATCATGATACAATGCTTCAAAAAAAGAGAGTCGAAAGCCACATTATTTAGCCAATGTGATGTTGTAATGCCTCCGCTCCCCAGACAATGAGCAACCTATATTTTAGATGCCTAACTTCTTAACTCATCCTGTTGCCAAACTGGATGGGCAAAGTGAGAGTAGGAGAGGCTATTTCAGCCCGAACTATCCACGGTTCGATCTGGGCGCCTCCTTGTGAGAAAGCTTGGGTGGAAGAAATCCACCTGCCCACCTGTTGGTTGCAGGTGGACCACACTATTGGCTTCCATGGGGCTGAATGAAAGAGAGCACCCATAGCCAAGATTAAACAGGGGAGAGAGAGAGCAGAGAAGAGAAGAGAAAGAGAGAGAGAAGAAAAAGAGAGAGGAGAGAGAGAGAGAAGAGAGAGAGGAGAGAGAAGAGAAGAGAGAGTAGAGAAGGAGAGAGAGAGAAGAGAGAGAAGAGAAAGAGAGAGAGAGAAGAGAGAGAGAGAGGAGAGAAAGAGAGGAGAGAAAGAGAGAGGAGAGAGAGAGAGAGGAGAGAGAGAAGGAGAGAGAGAGAAGGAGAGAGAGAGGTCTAAACTGGCTCATCAGGCTGAGAAGTGGGAACAAAGAAAAGCTTATTTCCTTCCCTCCCACAGTTGTGATTCAGGGTCATCTGTTGAAACCAAGCTGGGTGATCGAAGGTCAGCAGATGTTTACGGCCTGGTTATCTAAGTCTTTCTTAGTTTCATTTGCCATTTCTAGTGAACTGGAAGAGTGGTTTGGGTTAGGTGTGGTTGTTGGCTTTAAATCTAGTTCTCTTTGTGTGTGTGTGTGTGTGTGTGTGTGTGTGTGTGTGTGTGTGTGTGTGTGTGTGTGTTGGCTTTTTCCCAGACAGCTGGATCAAGGAGAGAGAGAAAAAAAACAACACCGTGGGAAACTGTATTCCATCCTTCGGCAAAGGACGGCTTTGGCCATCCTCTCTTTTGTTATCTCTTTCGGGTTTTTTTCTTCTGTCCAACCTCCCCTCGCAATCTGGACAATTTCCGGAGCATTGTGTAGAGGGAAGAGCTAGCGAGAAGCAGTGGAGAAGGTAGATCTAAACAACTAATTTGGATTCTGCAGATGGAACCTGCTCTGCAGTCGAGGTAGCAACTCTTAAGATCTTAAGATCAGAAGATCATGAACCAACTTGGGGTGGAACGGGTGGAAGTGAGAAAGAATGAAAGCAAGAAGAAAGAGAGAGAGAGAAAGAGAGAGAGAGAGAGAGAAAGAGGGAGAGAGAAAGAAAGAGAGAGAGAGA